TATTTATATTTATTTATATTTATTTATATATTTAATTATTAAATTTATAATAAATATTAAAAAAAATTTCTTATTTTATTACATTTGCTTCCAAATAAAATATGGTTACATATGTAACTAATAAAAGATCGAAATATAAAAGTTTTTGAGTAAGTTGATAATTTGGGTGTGGATGTGGTGGTTAAGTTTAAATTTTTTATAATTTTTTTTATAATTTTTTTTTTATAAATTTTTTTTTTTTTTTTTTTTTTTCAAATTTTTTATTTTTTATTTTCAAAGTTTATTGTTATTTTTAGCTGTTTGTGCATTGTTGCTTTTTGACATATTATCAAATTAATATAAATAATAATAATAACATTAATTCAAATAAATTTTTTTTTTTTTTTAAATTACATTGCAACAATAACTTAGTTAAATTTTAAAAAATGAAAGATAATAATATTACAGTTTTAGGGTGTGGCAATTTAGGTGTATCAATTGCCAGAGGGTTAGTTAATTCAAAATTATATAAATCAAGTCAAATTACCTTAACCAAAAGAAATATTGAGTCCATTGAGCATTTCAAACAAGAAGGTTACCATGTTACATCATCAAATCAGGATGCAGTTTTAAAGAGCAAAATTGTTATTGTTTGTGTTACACCATCACAATTAGACGATCTTTTAGATTCCATTAGAGGCGTTATCACAGAGCAACATGTCGTTATTAGTGTAGTCAGTGGTGCCTCAATCGATAACATAAAGTCACATTTGGGCTACAAAGAAATTCCAATCGTTAGAGCCATGCCAAATACTGCCATTCAATATTGCGAATCGATGACCTGTTTAGCCGTTCGTTCATCATCTCAAAAACACACCAATTCACCACAAGATAAAGCCAAGGATTATGCTCTTTTAATTGCTCAACGTATTTTCAATTGTTTAGGTATGTGCATCGTTTTAACAGAAGAACAAATCGTACCAGCCACCGCTTTATGTGCTTGTGGTATCGCTTTCTTTTGTAGAGCTATCAGAGCAGCTGCTCAAGGTGGCTGTGAAATTGGTTTCCATGCTGAAGATGCCATTAAAATCGCAGCCCAAACTGCTAAAGGTGCTGCTACTCTTTTATTAGAAAATAAATTCCATCCAGAATATGAAATTGATAAAGTCACTACTCCACAAGGTTGTACTATTTCTGGTTTAAATCAAATGGAACATAATGGTTTCTCTTCTGCTATGATTAAAGGTATTGTTACTTCTGCTGAAAAAGCTGCTTCACTTTATACTGCAAAACAACAAAAATCAGAACAACAACCAACACAACCACAAGAGCAACAACAATCACAAGAGCAACAAGAGCAACAACAAGTTGAAGTTCCAGTTGAACAAGAGCAATCAAGATATGGTAATGGTTTTAATGGAAGAAGAGATCAAAAAAGACAACCAAGAGAGCAAAGGGAATATAGAGAACCAAGAGAACCAAGACAACCAAGACAACCAAGACAACCAAGAGAGCAAAGAGAGCAAAGAGAGAGACATCAAAACCATTCTAATCATACTGAGCAACCACAAGAACAAAATCAAGATCAAACACAACAACAACCACAAGAACAAAACCAAGAACACACACAACAACCACAAACAAATGAAAATACCCAAATAAATCACCAAAACAAAGAAACAACTGAACAACAAGATCAAACAAATGATAATAGTTACAGAAACGGTAGAGGCAGAAGAAGAATTAATAATGGAGATAATAGAGATAATAGAGATCATAGAGATCATAGAGATAATAGAGATAATAGAGGATAATAGAGATATAGAGATATGGTTAATAATAATAGAAGAAATGGTAATAATTATAGAATCAGACAAAATCAAGAAGAAAATAACACCCCCTCATTAATAATAATAATAGCAATGAAAATCAAGAATCACCAAAGCAACCTGAGGACAATAACAACAATAGTGAAAACAAATATAGCGAAGATAATAATAGTAACCATGTTGATGAAGCCACCCAACAAAGAAGATCACAACAATCTGGTGATAGAAGAAGTTTTGGTAAAAGACCCAGCAACGGTAGTAATGGTAGAAATAGCGGCGGTGGTAATCGTGGTTACCGTGGTAATACTCATTATGAACAAAAAACTCCAACATCACCAGCAACAACAACAACAACAACAACAACAACTGCAATCCCCACTAATGAGGTCGAGGCAAATTAAATATAATTTGTAAATAATAGTCAAACAACCAATAGCAACAATTACAATAAAATCATATAGCGTTTAAATATTTAAATTCTTTTTTTTTTTTTTTTTTTCATTTTATTTTTATATACAAAAATATTATTTTATATCTATTTTTTAAATAAAATTTTTTTGGTGTTATAATTTACAACATTGTGTTATTTTTGTGTGGTGGGGTGTTTGTAACAAAAAAGATATTATAATTTTTATATATCTATGCGATAGAAAGAGTGTTGGGGGTATAGTGAGTTTTTATGAAATACAAAGAAAGTGGTTAATGAGTGGGTTGTTAGTATTTTATTTTTACTTTATTTAATTAATTATATTTATAAAAATTATTTATTATTTAAATTAATTAAATTTATATTTATAACAAAAACAAAAAAAAAAAATTTAATTATATCTTTTAATACCATTATAAAATATTTTATAAAATATATATCATTTTTTTTTTTTTTTTAAATAAAATATAAATAGTAAATTTTTTTTTTTTTTTATAATTGTTTTATATGATAAACAAAATAAAAATAAAATCACTTATATAAAATACTATTAATATTACATTATAAAAATAAAAATAAATGATTTATAAATATAAAATTTTATTATATATTTATAATTATTTACATATATTTTATAAATGAAATATCATTATAATTTTATTCTATTATTATTCATAATTTCATTTAATAGTATATTTTTATGCAATTCTTTAGCAATAATAGAAGATCCCAATAATAATAAAAATAATAATACTCATTTATTCATTTTAAGTATTCCAGATTGCTATGTTGAAGGTGTAGTTTTGGAATTAGGAAAATGTTTTAATTTTGAAACATATGGTTGTAACCCCAGTTCCATAGTTATCAAGGCCAATAAAAATAATTTATTAAAAAATGATAATAGCACAAATTTAATTTCAACTAACAAAAATGAATTTTATGGTATTATATTTTATAATATAAATTGTAGTGGTAATGAAAACGAAGTAATAGAATTTGAATGTAAAAAATCAAAGAAAATCAAATTAATGGGTAATGTTAAACTTCAATGTTTAACATCAGATAATGATTTAGAACCAGTTAAATTGGAATCAAAGTATAATGAATACTTTTCTTCATCATCAATAGAAAAAGTTAAAATATACGAAGAGTTAAAACCTTTGATCATATCAGACAAAGATGACGAACTATTATTATCATATAATAATTTCTCCAATGGTCTATTCAACAATATTAATTTTATATTAAAATTAACATTTGTAATAATAATTATAATCACATTACTCTAAAAAACCCAAAATAAAATATTTAATTTTTTTTTTTATTCAATATTTTTTAAAATATTATTTTTTTTAATCTTTTTAAATAATATCATTAATTTTTAAAAATATTAATCATTTTTTTTTTTTTTTTAAATTTACATTGCACTGGTCAATATTAAATAAACTAATAGATAATATTAAATAAAATAATATTAAATGTAGTTTTTTTTATATTTATAAAAAATATAAAAAACGAACATAAAACAATTTCCCTCTTTTTTTTTTTAATTTTTTTAAAATTTTTTTATTTTTTATTATTAATCTAATTTTTCATTTTTTTATTATTTTATTTTCAAAAACAAAGACAAATACATTAATAATACGTATTGTGGAATATTTAAAAATGAATAGAGAATTATCATTCACCCCAAATAAAAGAAAAAAAATGACCTACTCTGAAGAAAAGATAAAACCAAATATTAATTTGTAATAAATAATAAAAATATAAAATAATAAAGATTGTTTTTTTTATTAATAAATTAATTTAATTTCATTTAGGAGTGAAATTAGTAGTTTTGATGATCAACTATTTGAAATTGAAAGTATGAAAGAGGATAATAGACAAGAAAAAGAGAGGTTATTAGTTTATGATCAAAAATTACAATTAAGAGAAAAAGAATTAAATGAAAAGGAATTTAAATTGGAAGAAAGAGAATTTGAAGTTGAAGATGAAAAAGAGAAACTTAGATTATTAGCTTTAGATCTTACAAATACAATTTCAGGTATTGAACTTAAAACACAAAAATTAGAAGAAAGAGAAAAAGAAGTAGAGATATCAAGAAAGAAATTATTAGAAAAGAAAAAGAAATTGATGGAATTGGAATCACAAATAAAACAAAAAGAGCACGAAATTAAAATATTCGAGTTATCACAATTACAAAATTCAAATAAATCTGCAATGTTACCAACATCACAATTGGATTTATTATCATCATCATCATCATCATCAATAACATCACCAATAATACCAACAACTTTACCCATTTTAACTACACCTACTAAATCATTAAATCAAGTTTTAAAATCACCATCACGTGCTCAAATAAAGTCACAATTAAAACAACAAGAAAATAATATTAATATTAGTAATGGTGCTTTGGCATCATCAGCATCATCAAACTCATCAACATTAATTAAAGCAAGAAAAACATTACTACCTGTACAAAGAAAATCAATTTTATCATCCACTGCCGCCCCAATATCATCCACATCACTCCCAAGAAAATCTATTTTAGCTTCAAACCCAGCAGCATTAGCATCAACTGCCCCAGCCTCATCATCCAATACAACATCAACATTAAAATCGAAATTACAAAGAAGACCTACACTTTTTAGTCCTAGTAATAGTATTACTAATACCAATACCGGTGGTATAACACCTCAAAATTAAAATATAATAAATTTTAGTATAATTATATAATTTAAAATTTTATTTGTTTTATATATTTATTTAGTTTATTTATTAATTAAAATGAAAAATGTTTTTAGAAATTTTTAATTCTTTTTCGTTTGATTGTTTAATTAAATCTAAAGTTATTTGCATTAATTGATTATTGAATGAAAGATTTAAATTTGAAAGTGAATAGGTTGATGGTACAGTATAGGCAAATGATGGAATTTTAATTACAGCTTGGAACATTTGCATTAATTGAACAAAACCTGATGGATCAACTGAACCAATTGTTGAGCTGAGAATAGTGGCATTTGGATACATTGAAATTAATGTACTGTTTAATGAGAATTGTGTTGAGCTAAGAGTGTAGATTTTACTTCCTAATTCGGCATCGATGAGGAATTGAGTAGAGAAAGCAGTAAATGGATTGCCATCATTGATAACAACAAAATCAGCAGATAATTCAAAGTTTAATAAAGCAATACCGGTAGAGTTCATGCTGACGATTGGTGTAACTGGTGAATAAAGATTAACTTGAATTGGTTGGTTTGGATAGGAGGCAAGACCTGGAGCAACTGAGCTAAAGAAACCATCAGATGTATTTAATTGGACTGGTGAGGCGGCTGGGACTTCAGATGGAGTGATGGTTAATGGGAAAACAGAAGCAAAACCAGCATCAAGAACTGATTCGAAAAAGAAACCAGTGGCACTAATGCAATAGTCAGAGGTGAATGATTCTAATTGTGAGGCGGTTGGGACAAAGGTTGGGTTTTGAGTTGGGTAAATGAAATTGCCATCAGAGTTTTCTAAAATAATACCACCGTTAAAGGCGGCAGTTAAAGTTGGGGTATAGGTAGAGGTATCGCTACTTTCGACTAATTGACCCTCGAGATTGACCCATAAAGAGTTTCCACCTGGTAATTGTTCTGGTAATTGTCTGATTGGATTTAAAAGGGCTTCAATGGTTGGAGTATTTTCATTGATACCATTGGTGATGCCATTTTGAACTTGTGTTACAAATTGTGAAGCGACTTCATTGGCAATTTTGCTAACTGGGATAATACAAATTGTATTGTAACAATGAACTTTTAATGAAACTGCACCTTGATCAAATGTCATTTCACTTGAAACTGCTGTAATGGTGGTGGAAGTAGTATTAAAAACTACATCTAAATTAGTGGCAACTGAAACAGTTGAGCCTTGTTGAGTAAATACTGTAACGGTACCATCCTCGCATACATGATCACAAATATGATAGTTCCATTGAAGATTAAATGATACTGTATCCCATCCGATTTGGAAAACACCTTCATTTAATTCATTGTAAAAAATTCCATCCAATGTAATTGCAACTTTGAATCCATGAAAGTTATATGATACACCACCGCTATTACCTGAAATATCATTAAATGGTGTATTTTCAATTTTATTTTCTGCATATTCTGTTAACTAATAAATAGTATTTTAAAATATTAATATTAATAACTTTTTTTTATTTTTTTTTTATTTTCTCGTTTATCTTTAAGGACTTTTAAAATTTAATGAACTTACAGCATTTCCTTCATTTGCTAAAAATGTACTTGAAATTCCAACATATAAACCAGCAGCTGGATAATTTCCAGTTTGTGAAAATGCTACATTTAAAATTAATGATAATAAAAATAATGCTTTTATTATCATTTTCATTTTTATTTTTATTATTTATGATAGGTTTTGGTAATGATTGTAATTATAAAAAAGAGAATAAAAAAAAAAAAAAAAAAAAAAAACAAACCCTTACCAGAATTTTATTTTATATAAAAAAATAAAAAATTAAAAAAAAAAATAAAAAAAATTAAAATTTATTTTTCTTTTTTATTTTTTTATTTTTTTTATAATTTTTTTTATAATTTTTTTATTCTTTCTGAAAGGGTTTAGATATTTTAATAAAATAAAAATCAAAAGAAAAATTAGACAACGATCAGAAACTAAAAATATTTATAATTATAAATTATAGTAATAGTAATAAAAAAATAAATAATAATAATTGTTTTTAATGTAATATTTTATTTAGCAATGAGAATCATTATAGATATCTAAAATTTAGCACCATCTTCTACGACGACCGATATCAATGTCGATATTGATAATATTAATATTACTTCCACCAAAATTACCACGATCACATGGATTAAAGCATGGATCACAACAACATGGATCAAAACCACTGAAACAAGCTGATTGATTATCAGAGAAAGAACTGCTACCAGATAAAGTTAACATGGATTTAGTTGAAGCACCATTGATTGGGTTCATTGATGAAATTGATTCTATAAAGAAAAAAAAATTACATTTTTGTTATAAGTAATAGGGAAAATAATTTATATTTAATACTTTAAAGTTTTATAAAAATAATAATATTTACTGATAATTGACATTTTTTTATAGTTTTTAGTTTATATTATTTAATATTAATTAAAGAATTGTTTTAGAATGATGAAAAAAATTTTCAAATTCTTTTTTTATACTATTAAAAACAAGAAGATACATATAGTCATTTTCATGAATGATAAAACAGTCACAGCTATTTATATACATCAATTTTATTTGTTATATAAAAAATATATTTTTATTTTAAATAAAGCAAAAAATTTATATTTATTTAATAGAAAATTCACTTATTTATCAAATAGGATTGTAATTGGTTCATTTTTTACACCCATACCTCAGTTTTTATTTTTTTATTTTTTTTAATATAAATTTAATTGGAAATTTTTTATTTTTTTATATTATAACTTCACAAGTCTTTCATATTATTATTTTAGGAAAAAATGACAAAACAAGCATTACTTATTGTTGACGATTATTTTACAGGTTTTAAATTAGTTAATCCAAAAAGGGCATTGGAAAATACTTTAAGAAGGATTTTAGGGAAATTTAGAGAAATGCACCAAATGGTTTTTATTAAACAAATTACATTCCCAGGAATTCCTTATTTTATTGAAGGAACTCCAGGTTGCGAATTACACGATAAATTGGTACCAAGACTTAGTCATTATGTATTTGTTATTAAAAAGTCAATTCGTGTGAGTCTCGCAGAATTAAGAGAACCAGTGTAAGGTACTAAGATCAAATAATTAAATAAAATAAAATTTATATGAAATGTTTATGTTTTTGTAAAATTCGAAAACTAAAAAGTTTTTATTTTTATTTTTTTTAAAATTTTTTTTTTTTTTTTAAAAATTCTTTTTTGATGAATTAAAATAATTGTTGATTATTATTAATTAATATTGATTGTTATTGAGTAATGATCCTTGTTCATTACACAAGGAAGAAAGAGGAAAAAAAAAAAAAAGAAAAAAAATAAGAAAAAAAAAAAAAAAAAAATATCCTGGAAGATATAGCCATTCCAAAAAAATATTCAGAGCGGGAATCGAACCCACGACCTAATCCGTGTTAAGGATTCGTGATAACCAACTACACCATCCGAACATTGTTCGAAATCTTTCATTCGAGCCTCCCTCCAGGTCCATTTTGTTAGATTTCTTTGAAATACAATAATATTTGAGCTATTGTAACTTATTTTATTATTCAAAACTTAAAAATTAAATGAATTTTGAATTCAATAGTGTTTTATAGAAGTGTGACATAATTATTATTTAAAATCATATTGCTTTTATTTTTTTTTAATTAATTTGTTTTAATTTTTGTTGCATACTAGCAACAAATTCTTTTTGTTGCTTTTTACGATGATGGTTATAAATGATACAAACTATAACTATAGCTACAAAAGCAACACAGCCAATTACAATACCAGCGATTTTTGAACCACTTAATTTATTTGAACCTTTATTTGAACAAATAGAATTGGATTTTTTATCTACCCTGCTTGAGTCAAGTAATACAGAAAAATCGGGGTCGATTATAGCTCTTTTAGAAAAGTATGCCATTCTAATGCCTATTAAAGTTGATGAAAATGATTTACTATTGGTTGTACTATTATCTGGAATTATTCTAATAGTTATTGCTTTGACTTGTTTTAATTCATCAAAAACACCTCTTCTTATAAATCTACCATATAATGAATGATCATCTATTTGGATCTTCATGTACTCCATATTGTCACCTGATGTTGTGTATCCAAATTCTTGAGCTGAACATGTTGAGTCTAAAGTTTCTAAAGATGCTTTTATTACTAACTCTAAAGAATTTAACTTGGATGCAAATGGATAATCTACGATTTCGATATTATACTTAACACTTGATGGATTCATATTGATTTGTTGGTCTGCAAATTTAATGATGGTTTCTTTACTAAACCATTGTAATCTTGCTTTGACCAATGTAGATTTTCCAACGGTAGTATGATAATCGTTGGTATCATTTGATATTTGATTAAGTGTCCATTTTTCGAATTTATGTTCAAAAACTACTTTGTCGTAAACATCTATTTCTCTAATTGATACTAATGAAATAAGTGATTTGAATAAGTCTGTATTTAATTGAGCAATTGGATCAGTTATATTTAATGACAATGGAGACTCTGGTATAATAATAACTGTATCTAAACAATCTTTACCAGCATATGGAGAGGTGCATACGCAACCAGTATTGGAACAATATCCTCTAGATGATCCACCACATTGAGGGGTACCCAAGCACTCTTGACTTGGATTAACTGGTAAGTCTTCTTGGGATACTAAGACCTTTTCGGATGGAATAAAAACAAATGGATCTTGATATTCCATAATGTTTAAGTAGTCAAAGACCAAACTAAACTTATCAGTTCCTTTTGGTATGCCCGATATGTGCAATGCACTAAATAAATTTTTTTTAATTGTTAGAGGTATTAGCCATGGACTAGCTCTAAGTTGTCTATTTTTACCCAATATATACTCAACCTTTAAATAAACCGAGGAAACATTTGCGAAACCCCTACCATATATCCATAAATCACCCCCATCAGTACTAACTCTGCTTCCACCTGAAATAATAGGATGATTTAAAGAATAAACAATGCTTTCTTTTGCCAAACCTGAAACAAGGCCGGATTGCTTTAAGTCATAGTTTGAATATCCTCCAAAAGTTCCACCTTGATTTATAAAATTATAAATTGAAAACTGGATTCCATGTGGATAACCGAAACCCAATGGGATTTGACACTCGTAAACAAATGTATATGTAAGATCCTCTTCAATAGTTAAACCATTGCTATAACATTCGTGGGTACGTAGATTTGATGTAGATAAATAAATAATTGGAGACTGTCCTACCTTGAAACCACTGTCACTATCATTTGCAGAGATTTTAAAATTCAATAATCTATTAAAACTGCCAACATCAATTGGGTTGGTTTCGTCAGGTGCATTGACCAATTCAAATTCTAGCAAAACTGGTGGAGAATCGTCAAAAGTGTCACATATAACTACATTGTTATAAAATAGATCTGTATTTAAAAAATTGATAAATGGGTTTGAAAGTGAGTCGTCATAACTTTGGAATGGATTCGAAAGAGAAAATGTAGAGTTGTTGCCTTGCTCATCAAATAATAGCACTTCGACTATGGTATATGTTTGACTTGCACACACAGTACCTAGGGCAATTGAAATTGAATAGGATGCATTATATTTATCTCCAACTCCCATATATGGAGATAACGAAAAGTTATATTTTGAACCATCCACATCACCCATAATTACAATATAACCATCCCTAAACCCGTTAATTTCATCAATAATATTAAAGTTCCAAGTGGCCACTTTATCTGACATTAAGTTGGCTTTAAAGAAAGCTGGTAAGGGTTCATTTGGAAACCTACTGTAATTATCAATTATTGGTCCATACAAATCTTCATCTAATATTTTAAAACTAATTAGTAAATAAATTTAAATAATAATACTAATAATTTAAATAATAATAATACTTTTAGAAATAATGGTAAATTGAGCATCGTCAGGTAATGATGAACTTGGTATAATAATTTGTTTATCAAAGAAAAGAGAATATGGTATTTTTCCTGGGTGGGAGTTTGCTTTAACAAAAAATTCTATTTGGAATAATTCTAAATATGAGTTCCATGTAGCTGGCCAAAAATCTTTTTTTTGAAGACCATAACCCTGTCTAATTGGGTCATATAAAACTAATGAAACTGGGGTGTTTTGATTAATATTTGAAATGTTGAAATATAATATATTACCAGCAGTTTTATTTGTTACATCTATTTCTGAATATAATATTTTTGCAAATGTTATATCAAAATAATCAAATTCTATAAAAAAATAAAAATTTATATAAATATAAAAATTCTAAAAAAAATTATTTAATAAATATATTACCTTCATCATTAAAAGATGGGTGAGCGAAATATTTAATATTTTTGATATCATAATATTGGTTGAATTTAATTGTTAAATAACTTTCGCCTTCATTGGGACCGATTTCATCAAATGTATCGTACATCGATACAAGGAAATCATAAGTTGGATCCATAATACTACCACTAACCATACCATCTAAATAAAAGTATTGTTTAGTTGCATCTGGTAATATTCTAGTCCATTTATAAATGGGGTTAGATTTTGATAGACCTTGTATTCTTAAAATAAAAATATCATCATATAAATGAATATATTGAACGTTTTCAAAAGTGAATTCATCAGCGGCTATTTTAATAAAAAAAAATTAATGTTTATTTTTTATACTATATTATATATCTATTTAACTTACGAAGATCAAGAGATTCAATTGCAAAAGATGCAAATTCGTTATAACCCCTACTAAAATACTTTAATTTTATGCTTGTTTCTAAATCTGAAAAAAAAAATTAAAATTAAATTTAACAAAAGCTATATATCAAAAACAAAATATACTTACAGGTTTCTACTAAAAAAAAGGATGCATTGTATTTATAATTGAATAGATTTCCACTCTGAAAGCCAAATGGGAACTTCATAAGTACCGAATTAAAATACTCTACTTGGAATGGATAAAAGTCATGTTGGTTCCAACTATATTCGAAATGAATTGTAATTGATTGTGTTTCTTGAATTGGGTAAGATACTACACTAAATGATTGAAATAATGGGTCTTTTAATTATAATTAGTATATTATTAAATTAAACTTTAAAATATTTTTATCTTACCATCAATATATAATTCTTGTGTGAAAACAGGATCTATATTATCTAGTTTTTGCGATAATAGTGAAAATGTAGCTGTATCCATTGTATTATCAATGAAACCAATGTATTTAACCCTTCCATCTTTACTAGAAATTGGTCTTGAAACAAAATAATCTGATCTTATTCCATAACCTTCACCTCCTGCCAACGAATGAATTGGTTTATAATAATTGGTATTGTTTGAATAATATGTAAATACAGGCTGGAGAGCATAAGTTATTTTTTGGATATAATCTGAATTTGGAAATGTCAAATCGGTAATTTCATCAATAACTAAAAATATTATATATAAAATATTTTATTAATTGAAAATATTAAAAAAAAGTGTTTAAAATTTAAAAAAAAATAAAAATAATAAAAATAATAATAATTACTTACCCTTTGGGTCGTAGTAGGATTTAAATGAAACTGACTTTACAATATCATTATAATAGTATTCGACGGTTTTATTTAAATCCTCTGGGATAATAAAATTAAAACTTAAACTAATTAAAAAATAATATTTACTAAGACTTCTAATGTAACAGTATTCACAATAAAGTTCAGGATAAAAATCCGTTTTAAGGTTATCATACTTAAATACAGCCGATACCATTCCGTTAATGTCAAGCTCCATTCCACGAACTGAAATATCTTTAATTTCGAATTCATTAATGGGAAAAGCTGGCAAGTATTTTTTTTTAAAAAATATAAATATATTAATACAAATTTTTTTTTTTATTTATATAAACGTAAATAACATACAGACACATTCATAATGAATATCAAAGTAATATGTACTTGAGCCAGTGACAACAAAATTATGGGTATAAACTCCAATTGGTATCTCTTTAATTTCTATTTCAAATATTGTTGCTGTATCATTCACCAATACTGGATTAATATTAAAATAGGGATCAAAATAAACGTCATTACTTTTAAATTCGAATTCACCAGAGTCACAAATCAAATACAAAAATGAAAAAAGATTACAATTCATTTCATTGTATGAATATTTAAAATTTTCATTTTTTTTGATCGTAACATCTTTTACAAAAATCTGGGAATTTATAAAGCCAAAATAATTTATTAAAAAAATTATTAAAAATAATTTTTTTATTTCAATCATTTTTTTTAAAAATAAAAATAAATAAATATATAAATATATAAATAAATGTTTATTTGTTTTTTAAAATAAATTTTTAAAAAAAAAAAAAAAAAAAAAAAATTTTAAAAAAAAATTTATTAATGATTTTTATTTTATTTATACAAAATCTATTTTTTGTACAATTGTTATTTGGTTTTTAAAGAAACAAAAGTGGCATTGAAACTTACCACAAAAAAAAAAATATAAATAGATATTTTTTGATATTTTTAATAAAAACTAGTTTTCAACATCACACAACCCAATTAATTGAGCGAAAAATAACAATTAAAAAAAAAATAAAAAAACATCAAAAACACTAAATGAAAATTCAATTCATGATGCAATATTTGTCCTAATACGAATTAATATCTTTTATAAAAAAAAAGATATTAATAAAAAAAAAAATCCAATAGGGCCGTTTTTTAGTTTTGTGCTACCAAAAAAAAAATATCAATATATATTTTACTTTTTGATGGGATTTTTAATTGTTTTTTTTTTTTTTGGATATTTTTTTTTTATATTCACAAAATAATAATTGGAAATAAAATATAACTGTAATAAAATAAAAAAGCCATTATAATTTTTTTTTTTTTTAAAATCATCATTTATTAATTTTTTACCTTTACCAAAAATATAAATTATATTATATTTTTGAAAATAAAATAAAAATAAAAATAAAAATAAAAAAAACAAATTAAAATTAAAAAATTAAATAAAAAAAATATCTAAATCAGATGGAAAAAGATTTAAATTTTATAATTAAAATTTTTTTTATTTTAAAATAACTGACACATTTATTAATTTAAAAATACTCCATAGATGATTTCTAAAATCATAATCCTTGTTTCAATATATACTTGAACTAACCCCATTTATTCACCTCTTATAACACTTCTTGACCAATTACTTGAACCACAGCTTACTAAGATCTTGCCACCATTTGAACCACATTTGATTTTACTTTATGCTATTTAATATATATACCATCATTGGAACTAACCACATTTTTTAATTACTTAAAATACCACTTGACCAAATATTTGAACGCACATCTGACCAATACTTTAATCCACATTTGAACCACAACTTGAATATGCTTTATTCTTTTTAATTTATACCATCGGAACTAATATCATCTATTCATTGCTTAAAACACCATTTGACTAAATACTTGAACCACAACTTATGCTTTTTATTTACCATCTTTTAATTTGTTTAAATATTTGCAGTAATATCCTCTCCAATTCTATTGCTTTAAGGCTTAGTATACCACCTACACAATATTGTGTGTGAATATTATTAATTTGAAATATATTTTTAATTATTATAAATAATTTAAATGTAAATATGTGAATGTTATTGTCATTATAATTTTTTTTTTTTTTTTTTTTTTTTCTATATATTTTAAATTACTGTTATTAAATTTATATTAAATTTATTGGGGGTTATGTGAGTGGGGTATTTGTGAATGTATTTTATTTAGATGATATTGATAATAAAATGAAAAAAAAAAAAAAAAATATAAAAAAAATAATTTGGAGGCAACAAATTTTAAAATTAAAAAGCTTTATTATAATATTATTTTGAATAGATTTTAAGACTTTTTTATTTAGTTGTAAATAAAAAAATTTATTTGAAGGATATTCCTAAATACGGTTTTTAAATTTAATATTCGATTCTTTTTTTGAATAACATTTTTTTTTAAAAACCGGTACGGTTCGGAGCTTTAATAAATATAATTTGGAGGTATTCCTGCATCAAGTTGATCTATGTCACACCATAATTGTTTAAATTTGTTTTTAATTTGATGAACATAGTTTTAATTTTTTATCTATAAAAGCTATTGATAAATGAGTCATATTTGTGGGTTACGGGGTTGTGTACTGTGTGCTAAGCCCAAAATAGTTGAGATTCTTTTCGTCGATGGATTCTGAATAGTTTTCTTGATCCTCATTTTCTTCCTCGAAATTGGAACTAAACTTTAGTCAAAACAATAACGCCTGGCCACAATAGAAGCTTCCCACATAAAAATTTTAAATTTTTTCACACAAAAATTTAAATTTTTACATATTTATTTTCATTTTTTTTTTTCAACATACCCATTACCAATTAAAATAAGAATAGAGGTAGTTTATTAAATAAAAAAAAACAATTAGATTCATCGAATATATATTAAAAATAGTTTTTTAAAAAATAATAAAAGAAATATTTAAAGTTTTTTTATATTAAAATTTATTTATTCAATTTTTATTTTCTATGTTCTGATAGTTTTTGTTTTAAATGGGATAGTAGTTGATTATATTCATTGTTGGTGTTATCGATGTCATCATTGATAAGATTATTTTGATAGAGTTGTTTTAGGAAGACAATATTATCTCTATTTATAGCATGATCAATTATTGTTTTCGATGGTTTTAATAGAGTATTATTTGGATAGGTGTTGAGGAGGAATTGATATAGTTTGAATGGTATTTGGTATGGTTTGATGTTAAATGAGAATTTAAATTTGCTTTTATCGTCAAATATTAAATGGTGAAGAGCAAATACTGTATCTGGATGAAAATCCTTTTCATTAATAATAATTTTGTTTTTTATTAAAGATTGGCCAATATTGGTGTTATTTTCGACATTATATATTAATAAATCGCAGATTCCTAAAGTTGAAAGAATGCAATATTCGCTGTATTCATTTAATACTGTGGAGATTAAGGTGTGGTCACCAGTTTGAATAATGTTTGAGATGATAATAAAACGATATCTTTTTATGATATCATCTGAATTGTTGTATATGAGTTCCAATTCCTCTAAATATTTTAAAAATAAATCATATCTTTGAAAGAAGAACAAGGTTTTTATAGTTTGAATATAAATGCCAGTGATTGTTTTGAAAGGAGGTGCTTCTTTTAAGATTGTGAATGAGTTGTTAAAAATATATTGATGAAGTTTTTCGATAATATCAATACATGATGCACCATTGTCACAACAAAGACAACCATTATTACCAAATATATATTCGAATGAAAATACTTCTGGATCTATATAATCATTTAAATTAAAAATTATATTTCCCTCTGTATTACGAGTTTTAAAGTAAAAAATAGTGCCATCCCAGTTATAGGCCAAAAGGTCGCCAACATCGCGAAAGATTGGTAAACCAAGAAAATATTTGATGAGTGTTAATGATTTATTTGCAAGATAGTAAATTGAAAATAATGTTGATTGTTGAACTGTAGTTACACCAGATTTGTTTATGAATTGATAAGTTGATTTGATCTTTTCAAGTGGTACTTCACCTTTACTTTGAATTAATATTTTGAATAATATGTTGATAACAATTTTAAGAGCTTCACCTTGATAAATATGGACTTTGGGTGTTGGAGTAAAAATATAATTTTCATAATTGATATTTGATATTGATCGTTGTCGTTTTCTATTTTGGGATTTATTTTGTAGTTGTTTCGATCTATTAATTATTAAATGAATGATTGATATTACATCATCAATATTAATATTATCATATCTTTGTGTTTGAAAATCAATATTACAATAATGGTTACAGTAAAAAGACAAAGGAATAGGACGGTTTCTGTTAGTTTTGAGGTTTTCAACATTTATAAAGCTACTGATATAATTTGGTAATTTGTTTTCAACATCTGCATTGTAATGATATTTGTTAATTAATAGTTTGGTGATGTGTACTGATAATAGTTTGATTGAAATTGCGAATACGGTGGTTAATACTTCACAACTATTAAATAAATTGGTTAAATAGTTATCTTTTTCAGTGTGTTCATAATCTCCTTCTGGCATTAGATCTAAACAATAATAAACACCTTGAGGACAATTGATGTTGATAAAATGTTTGATGATTTCAGTGAGTTGTGTAATATCTTGATATGATAGTGGTCGATTTGGTTTCTTGTATGAATAGTATAGTCTAGATAAACTATAATCTTTGGTAAGTTCGAATATTGATTTTAATTCTTTTAAATTAAATGTTTCCATGGCATTTTTTAGTGGTATTTCCAAAACAGTCTCGTCAATGAGTTTAGTTTCCACAGCTTTCTTGGTTCGTATGGGTGTTACTTTGAAAATATTTAAATTAAATAATTTAAAAATTTTTTTATCTGTATATTTAAATAATTCAACACTATTGAATTTGAAGGTGTTCCTATTTATTTTTGGTAGATCACTATAATGAGAGCCCATAATATCTAACATAGAGCATTCGGGATAGAAACTTTTTGTTTGTTCATACAAACTCAAGATATCTGAAATTAAATCGACTGTTTGTTTATCTCTGACTACAAGTAATGTTGTTGTTATTCCCGGTGATTTTTTATTTTTCTTATAATTGTCACGTGAACTGTCATTATATTTAATAGAGTCTGTAATTATTTCAGTTGGTATTGTTGTTTTTGTTCTTTTAACCACTTCCTTCCATAATGAATAAATTTCATATTTACATGGTGGTATTGATTCAATTAGTTGGCAGAACTTTTTTTTATCTATTTTGCAACCGTACTTATGAAACATATCCCCTTATTGTTTCCCAAATGTCAGATTCCATAAAATTTAAATGGTTTTGATTTTTGAAATAAAATTTGATTGTTTCTATATCTGTTTTAAATGATACCCTAGAATAATAATTTTTGATTTTTTTCCAATTATTTGTGTTGTTTTGTAAAACTAGTTTTAAATTTTCTAATTGGATTGATTCTTTATTTGAAAAATAATTGAATTGAAAACTTTCGACATTATCGTCATCATCATCATCGTCATCATCGTCATCGTCATCCTTTTTGATATTTTTTCTAATATACTCTAATAGTTTTATTATTCTATTGATATCTTTATTATTATTAATTATATTATCTATTTGGTTTTTGTCATTTTGCTTAACATAATCAGGCAAAAAATATAATTTCATATCTAATAATTGATTTTGATTCTCTATTGATATTGTGTTGAATACTATATCTATAATATCGATTTTATTATTATTATGTATATTATAATATTCTTTATTGCTTAAAACTAGTTGTAATACTCTATCACGTTGGAATATATCTTTACAGCGTTCATAAATATCTTTAATTATTTTATTTTTATATTCATATGGAGATGTGAAAATTGATTGTATTAAATTTTGTTTATTATTATTTTTATTAATATTTTTGTTATATGCTGACTTCAAAATCTTGTTATTAATTTTGAGTGTTTTTTTGTTTTTATTTTTATTTTTATTTTTATTATTGTTGTTTTTATTATTTATATTATAAAATGAATCCAATAGTATTTTAATTTTTGAATTTGTCGAAAAAGAGAAGAAATAACTTAGTGTTGATGTAAATATTGGGAAAGAGAATGGTTCATTAACTGCAGTTTGAATAAAATCCTCACTAAAATAATTTAATTGGTGTATATGGCTCCGTGATGTCCATGATTCTTTGCTTTCATATCTAAGTGAAGTTGATTGTAATAGTAATTTGAATATTTCTTTTGCTAAATCTATGTCATAACTCATCATTTCTGTAATTTTATACCTATGATTGACATGGATATATTCATCAGATTCTAACTTGCATTTTAATAAATGATATAATTTTTGGTTTAATAGGAAATTTACCGATTTAATATTTTTAAAAATGATTCTATTTTCTGGAATATCGTTTATACTATTGTATTTAATTAGTTCAACTGAATGAATGAAATGAAATATTTTATTAAATAAATATTTATTATGAAAAACTAGATAAAATAATTCTGAGGTTTTTTGATCATAGTTATTATTATTGTAATTGTTATTATTATTACTATTATTATCCATTGATGTGATGTGGTGTGATGTTTTAAAAAATTAATAATGAAAATTATTATTTTATTTAAATTTTACAAAAAAATTGTGGAAATAAAAAAATAATGTTTTTTTTTTTCTTTATTCCCAAAGATTAAAAACTATATTTCGTTCAAAAAAAAAATATATTTTTTCCGAGATTTTTTTTTGAAAATAAAGAATTATCTTTAATTTTAAAGAAGCGGCATTTTATCTTCACTTTTTATTTTTTTTTTTCAATTATTTTTTCTTTTTATTTTTATTTTTAAAACACAACCAAACTTTTCTTTTAAACAAAAAAAATTTAACCAATTGGCGGACAGTTAAAAAAATGGCAAAATTAATGATAAGTTTTATTATTAGATTATAATTGTTTTGGGATCAAATTTTTATCATTTATGAAAGACGATTTCTAATAATATATTGATTAATTTTGAAAAAATATTTGTTTCGATTATTTCTCCATAACATAGAAATGTTTAAAATGATAGTTTTTTTTTCAAATTTGGGTTACTTCCTGCTTGTGCCACTTTTATTTTATTGTTTTTATTTTTATTATTATTATTATTATTATTATTATTATTATTATTATTATTATTATTATTTATATTTATTATCATTTTGTGTGTCATTTTTAAAATTAATTTTCTTTGTTTCCTTTTTGATATGGTTTCACCTTTTAATGGATTTAGTTTATTACATTTTAAACATACTCTAGTTATTGAATTGTTTAATTTGTTTGAATTTTTTGATAAGGATTGTTGTTGTTGTTGTTGTTGTTGTTGTTGTGGTGATGGTTTTAATCTAAATTCTAACGAGTTAATTTCTTTTGTATTGGTTGAAATTAAACTTCTACTTTTATTTGATAGTTGATCAGTTTTAATAATTCTAACTCTACAATTTATACCTGGTATTAAAAATGTTCCACAATTACTACAGTTTCTCGATTCGATCATTGTTGGTACACCTCTTAGTTGTTTAATATTTGCCATTTCTCTAAATTTATACATATAGTATCCGCCTAATTGTTGGCTACAGGGTTGTGTCCAGTGAATCGACTCAAAAATAGTTTAGATTCTTTTCTTCGATGGATTTAGAATAGTTTTCTTGATCCTCATTTTCTTCTTACTAATTGGAACTAAACTTTATACTTTTACTATCCCCATTATTCGACATTTCTTCAAATATGTTTTCATTTTCATACAGCTTTCTTTTTAAATGGTTACTATAGCCATTTAAATCATTATCTTCATCATTATTTTTATCGTAGTTTTTATTATGACCGTTATTATTGGTATTTTTAAAATTTTCAAAGATGTAAAAAAACAAAATTGCCTAAAAAAGAAAGAAGGGTTATTGGTGGTTTTGGGGGACAATCTACCCATGCTCCAAGTTTTTCATTGAATATTTTAATTGATGGTTTTCCAAAATTTCCCCCTTTAGATGGTGCACCTGTAAAATAGTGTCTGGATTCTGGTGCATATAATTTTGGATAAGTGGATGAGGCAATGCGGGCATTTGATTGTTGTGTTGGTTGTGGGCTAGCAATCGGAGTTTGAGTTGAGGTTGGAATTGAATTTGGTAATGGAGCTTTTGATATTGGTGTTATTATTGGTGTTGGTAGTTCCTGTTGTGGTGTTGATTAAACAAGATAAGGTGATGGTCTATAAAATAAATTTGATCCACCTACAAATTTATTTTTTGATTGTGGAGATTGTGATGGTTGTGTCGATGGTGCGCCAAATGGATAATTTGTGGTTGTCGATGATGCGCCAAATAGTGATGGTGTAGTTGTCGATGGTGAGCCAAATGATGATGGTGCAGTTAAAGTTGATGGTGGGCCAAATGGAGATTTTGGAATTGTCGATGGTGTGTCAAATAGTGATGGTGTAGTTGTCGATGGTGCACCAAATCGTGATATTGTAGTTATCGATGGTGTCTGTTGTGGTGTTGATTCAACAAGATAAGGTGATGGTCTATTAAATAAATTTGGTCCACCTACAAATTTATTTTTTGATTGTGGAGATTGTGATGGTTGTGTCGATGGTGCGCCAAATGATAATCCTAAATCTTCCTTTAGACGATTGTTTTCATCTTTTAGTTGGTTAATTTGGGATGTAAATTCTTGATGAATGTCTTTCTTTTCGTTTTCTTGTTGTTGCTTCAATGATTTCAGTTCTTCTTTTAGTAGATCGATGTCATTTTCATATTCAGCATTGTCGTATTGCTCATTTTGATTATCATTATTAAGAGAGTCTAGTTGATCTATTATTTCTTTATTATCTTGATTTAATACTTTTTCAATTTGATTTAATAGTTCTTCTTTATCTCTATCTTGTTGTTTTAATGATTCTATTTGATCTTTTAATTGATTATTTTCGAGATTTAGCTGATTAATTTGATCTTCGTTATTAGATTGAGCCAATTGTTCTTTTAATAATTTTAACTGATCTACTAATTCTTTATTTTGTTCATTTAATTTAAAAATTAACTTTTCTTGTTGGAATCTAGTTTGAAGGTTTTCCTCGATTTGATCTTTCATTTGAGCCAATGTTTTAAAAGTTTGTTGATTTTTTTTTAAATCATTGATCTCAGATTGTAATGTATCAATAATTGCATGGGAAGTCTCTGCGATTGATGGTTTAGATGAAGGTGCGCTAAATGATGATTCTGGTCCTGGTTCTGGTGTAGTTGAGGTTGATGGTGCACCAATTGGTGATTTTGTAGTTGTCGATGGTGCGCCAGATGGTGATGGTGTAGTTGAAGTTGATGGTGCACCAAATGGTGATGGGGGGCTTGTACCGGTCAATGGTATTGAGAATAGTGTCGATCTTGGTGTAGAAGCGGCTTTTGATGGTGAATTAAATATTGATGCAGTTGTTAATGGGGATGTTGCCAAACTTGAGGAATTTGTTGGGATATTGAATGATGAGGCAATCGAGGTTGTTGGATCACCAAATGGTGATGAAAATGTTGTGAATGTTCCCGAGAGTGGTGCTGTAAAAGGATTTGAAAATAAATTTGAGGATGAGGTTGTTGAAAAACTGGTACTTGTCAAATTACCAACTAAATTTACAGATGGTGCGCCAAATGGTGATGGTTCTGGTCCTGGTGATGGTGTTGTTGTGGTTTTTGGTGCACCAAATGGTGATGGTTCTGGTCCTGGTGATGGCGTTGTTGTGGTTTTTGGTGCCCCAAATGGTGATGGTTTTGGTGATGGTGTAGTTGATGTTGAAGTTGATGTTAATGGTGCGCCAAATGGTGATGGGGAGCTTGTACCGGTTAATGGTATTGAGAATAGTGTCGATCTTGGTGTAGAAGCGGTTTTTGATGGTGAATTAAATATTGATGCAGTTGCTGATGGGGATGTTGGCAAACTTGAAGAATTTGTTGGGATTTTAAATGATGAGGCAATCGAGGTTGTTGGATCACCAAATGGTGATGATACTGCTGTGAAAGTTCCCGAGAGTGGTTCTGTAAAAAGATTGGAAAATAAATTTGAGGATGAGGTTGTTGAAAAACTGGTACTTGTCAAATTACCAACTAAATTTACAGATGGTGCGCCAAATGGTGATGGTTTTGGTCCTGGTGATGGTGTAGTGGTGGTTTTTGTTGCGCCAAATGGTTCTGGTTCTGGTTCTAGTTCTGGTGATGGTTCTGATAGTTCTGGTCCTGGTGTAGTGGCTTTTGGTGCGCTAAATGGATCTGGTTTTGGTGATGATTCTGGTCCTGGTTCTGGTGTATTTGTGATTGATGGTGCCCCAAATGGTGATGGTGTAGTGGTGGTTAATAGGGTTGTTTCCAAACAAGGTGAGGTTTCTCCGCCAAAGATATTTGTTGTTGATTCTTTTTTATCTGTTGGATTACCAGATAAGTTAAAACTTGAAGATGAACTGGTTTCTGATTTGGTTGTTGTTGATAATGGTGTAGATGTTGAAACTTTTTGATATCTGTATGATGGAACAAAATTGTATGGGTATGGTGAGTTTGGAATTGTTGGTGAAATTGGAATTGGTTTTAGTATTGGTGCTGGTTTTGGTTGTGGTGGTGGATTTGATTTATAACGGTATGCGGGGGCAAAGTTACTTGGGTATGGTGTTGATTGTGAATTTGGAGATGCTTG